TGTGAGAATAAACAAGTCATCTTTTCTGTCGAAGAACAGTTTAGATGGCCACCATTTTGGACTGTGTGACTTGGCAGCCACCATGTTGGCCGCATGGCTTGCAGTTCCCTTCGGACTGCCATCTTGAAACAGCAAAGGCTACCCGCCCTCCCCTTTGAATTAGCCAATTTTGAAAGACTGTGCCCCTGAGCTCCAGTCAAGAGCAAAGGACAGGTCACATGCATAAGGGATTATAAACCCAAGCAGTCCACCTGCTTGGTGTGCACGCCCTTTCAGACCATGTGACCATGTGTGTGCACCCTTCTACATAGAAGTAAAGATGTTTGCCTTGCTGCCTGGCTCCTGTTTTTGTTTTGTTGTTGTTGTTTTTTAAAAAAAATATATTTTATTGATTTTTTTTTTACAGAGAGGAAGAAAGGGATAGAGAGTTAGAAACATCGATGAAAGAGAAACATTGATCAGCTCTCTCTTGCATACCCCCTACTGAGGATGTGCCCGCAACGAAGGTACATGTGGACAGGTGACCGGGATTGAACCTGGGACCTTTCAGTCCACAGGTCGATGCTCTATCCATTGAGCCAAACCGTTTTTAGTCCTGAGTGTTTTGTATTCTACCAGAACTCCTGACTCAGGGGGCTTGCCTTATTTCTAACAGGAGAGGGAGAGATAGAAACATTGAGAAGAGAAAGAGCTGCCTCCTGCACTCTCCTTTCTGGGGATTGAGCCCAAAACCCAGGTCTGTGCTCTGACCAGGAACCAGCCACATCCTGGAGCATGGGATGATGCTCAACCAGCTGAGCCACACTGGCCAGTCATAGATGGCTACAAACTGCTGTTTAACTATCGTCTGTTTCCCTATTCCACTTGTTCCAGCTGACTACTATCCTGTCTCAGTCCAAAATGGAGTCTGTAGAGGGAGAAGGGAGCAAAAGAAAAGCTTTATTTTTAGACCAGGACCTCATCTTTTGGAGAGAAAGGAATGGCCAGGGTTTTATCCTGCTAGGTGTGGTGTTGGCCAGAAAATTTCAGACTACCTAATTAAGATTGTGTTTCTGGGAGAGGTCTGGGATTAGATCTAAGTTTGGTATCAGGGGCTTTAGGGTAAGGCAGGCCATTTTGGGCCTGTGGTTTTTCTCTTTGACACTGTATTTACAATCTTGATAATTGACAGCTGTCATTCAGGAAGGAACGTCACCTCGAGGGAGGCAGTTAGAGGTGAGCAGAGCAAGAATGATGAGCCAGGTATAGGTGGTCACCAGGGTGGAAAGCCCCCAGTGCCTCGCAACTGACAATGAATTGCAGGTGGGATGTCACCCCAGGGTGACCTTTCCTCCCCTAGCGTATCGCTGGTTTTGCCGTTTGGACCCCCTAATGTTTCCTCCCTAAATAATATCTAGGCCTCAGTTGTATTTCAGCTCCAGGTCCAGAAAAGCACCAAAACCAGTCCAGAGACTCCACGATTGCCCTAAAGGACAGCTGACTAGAATAATGAACGACCCCATGTCCTGGTGCAGCTCACCACTCAATCAACGGAGACCCCTTAGGGAGCAGCTATACGGCTAAGCCTTGGACTGACCGGACTGACCAGTGGCAGGGCCACAAACAAGTCCCAGCCTAATTAAGCTTGACCTTACAGTCCCCCCTAGTTCCTTCCTAGGTAGCTAATGGGCTGTGGGAGGTGCAGCAAGTGCTGCCAAAACAAGGTGAAACAAGAACATTGTAACCATGTTGACCACTTCCTTGTTTTGCTTTGACTTTAAAATACAGCCTCCGCTTGCAGGCTGGATCTTTCTGTGTCCTCATCCAGGTCCTGGAGTTCCACCCAGCCCCAGCTGTATTCTCTGTCTGTCTTCTTTTATCCTTCACTGCCTCTCCTTGGCCGGGCTGGCGCGGCACAGACCCCCAACCCTGAAAGAATACACCGGAAAACTGCTGAATATTTTACTGAGATATTCCTCCTGGGACCCTTCCTTAAAATCTCTACCCTTCAAAGCCTTTGGTTGGAGCACCTTGAGTGCTCTCCCTTTGGGGGCAGCCCATTCCTTTCGCTCCCCTTCCCTGCCCAGCACTTTACCTTTAGCTTCCTAACGCCCAAGTTCCAAGGGCTCTTCCTTTACCTACAATTTGTTTCTTAAGCCAGTGGTTGGCAAACTCATTCGTCCCCAGAGCCAAATATCAATAGTACAACGATTAAAATTTCTTTTGAGAGCCAATTTTTAAAAAAGTATATTTTATTGATTTTATACAGAGAGGAAGAGAGGGATAGAGAGTTAGAAACCGATGAGAGAGAATCATCGATCAGCTGCCTCTTGCACACCCCCTACTGGGTGTACCGCAACCAGGGTACATGCCCTTGATCGGAATCGAACCCAGGACCCTTCAGTCCGCAGGCTGACGCTCTATCCACTGAGCCAAACCGGTTTTGGCAGAGCCAAATTTTTTAAACTTAAACTTCTAACACCACTTCTTCCAAATAGACTCGCCTAGGACGTGGTATTTTGTGGAAGAGCCACACTCAAGGGGCTAAAGAGCCGCATGTGGCTTGTGAGCTGTAGTTTGCCAACCACGGTCCTAAGCCATTTCTTGTAGGAATTACTTTTTCCACCTCCATGACTTACCCAATAAATGTTCACTTATAGTTTGGGTCTTGGCTCTGAATTCTTTCCTAGCCAGAACCCAAGTCCCAGGTTGAGGAACCCAGGTCCAGTGTGACCTGTGGGTCTAACACCAGTGCCATTCCAAACACTCCAACAACCTGAGGTGCCTGGACTCCTGGGCTTGGCAGGGTGTGTGTGTGCCTAAGCCCCCTCGTATCACTTGCACATTTTGCTTGAGAGAAACCTGCACCGTCTATCAGTTTCCAGCAGGGCTTGACATGAAGAGCTATTGTTTACCGAGAGAAGCACCTACCATCAACCTTCACATCCAGCTTGTTATCTGCATTTTACGAAGCAGTCAGTCTCCCGGCTTCTCTGCTGTCCAGCCTCCCATGGATCTCAGATGTGTCACTGCGGGGCTTCACTTGTTGGGCTCCACACAGGACCAATCACCTGTCCACCTCTTTTTTTTTTTAAATATATTTTTATTGATTTTTCACAGAGAGGAAGAGAGAGGGATAGAGAGAAACATCAATGAGAGAGAATCATCGATCAGCTGCCTCCTGCACACCCCCTACTGGGGATGTGCCTGCAACCACAGTACATGCCCTTGACCAGAATCGAACCCGGGACCTTTCAGTCCGCAGGCCGACGCTCTATCCACTGAGCCAAACCGGTCCCGGCTCTTTTTTTTTTTTTTTTATTAACCTTCATCCAAGGATACTTTTTTCCATTGACTTTTTTTAGAGAGTGGGATGGAGGGAGGGAGGATGAGAGAGAAAGAGGATGTGAGAGAGACACATTGATTGGCTGCCTTCCACAGTCGTCTGGACCAGGGTTGGGGGCTCAACCAGAGATCCTGCGGTGCTCGGGCTATGCTCTAACCATTGGGCAAACCACCCTGGACCCTCCTGTTCAAGTCCTGCTGTTCCACTTGGAGTGATGGTCCTCTGAGCTAGAGCTTCCAGTAGCACCATCTGCACAGACATGAATTTTGGAATAAATTCTTAATCTTATCTCGAAAGAGCATGTGTGCCATTCCATAGAGTTCCTTAAACACCTCGGTTTTTCCAGGCGTCTACCCTCTGCTCCCCAGGATGCCACTGCGTCCATCAGTGCTGGCGCTTCATTTTGTACTAGCTGGTTTTCCTTGTGGTACAGTTCACTGCACTGACAGGTGTTTCAATAAATCTTTTATTAATTTTTTAGGGAGGAATAAGTTACTTGTGGCTAGCTTACCACTTACTATTTAAAATTCATGCGTCTGTGCTGTCTGTATTTCAAGATTAGCGCACACTTGCTGTAGGGACTTATTTAAATGCAAAGTGTCACATGATAGTACTGTCAACACTGGAAGGGAAATAAAACTCCATCAGCCTGCTGGCAGATATGGTGACATGTGAGGTGCCAAGCTGCGTATATCTGAATGAAATTCCAGTCTCTGCTGAAATTATCTTCAGTTTTATCGTGAGATGTCCATGCTGAAACCAGATACTGTTATTCCCTTTTTTTGACCAGGCATTTACAAATGTAGAGAATTGATTAAAAAAAATAATTTATTGTGCTAAGTGGTCACCTGCTAAAACGACATAAGGGTTCAAGAAACATGAGAAATATGCACGATATAAAGCAATCTTTCTTAAAAAGTTATTTCCCGATTGCAGATGACATAGTTTATCAGCTTCAGGTGGACAACACAATGTTTTGAAGTAAGTTAGACTAGAACCAAGGCTGTGCAAGCGTCCCTGGCGCCGGACCTGGGATCTGAATGCCCTTGTCAGTCAGCCCGGTGTGGCTCAGAGGAGTGAGGATCAGCAGGTGGTTAGCTGAGGTGGCTGCGAGCCGGGCCCAGGGCCCAGGCAAGGCGGCACTCAGGGTGCAGAGGCAGGATGAGCAGCCCTTCATTTCCTAAGGGCCTGGTTAGGTGCGGAGGGTGCTGTCACGCGGAGGTTGAGGGGCGGGCGAGGCTGGGGGGAGGAGTCAGCAGACACCTGGCCCCGGAGCCGAACTCAGCCCTGGCCTCTGCACTGAGACCACCGCACTGACCTCCTGGGGCCAGGCGACAGCTTCCAGTCCCACCCCCCCTCGGGGTCAGGGTTCATTCTTTAGCTCGGCCCCGCCCGCGCTGCTGCGCGCGTGTCCCCTGTGGGACCGGTGGTCACGCAGAGGCGGCGGGACCCGCGCGTGGCGCCCCCCTAACGTCCAGGCGCGGGGTCCCCGGACCACCGGCCCCACATCGCACGCGTCCCCTGCGTTTCCGGCCCCCGGGGGCGGGACTCGGCCGGAAGCAGCCTCCGCGGCCGCAGCGCGGCCCGCCGCCGAGAACCTTCGGGAAGGCTGGGGCGGGCGGGGCGCATGCGCGACGGCCGGCAGGGCGGAAATGGACGCGGCACGCCGCCGCCGCGTGACGCACTTCCTGTTTGTTGTTGGAGAAAGGAGAAAAGAAAGCGCGAGGAGCCGCCGCCGTCACCAGCGCTGCTGCTCAGAAGCCGAAGACACCGGGCTGCCGCCCCGCCGCCTCCCCGCCGCCGGCTCCGCATCTGGTGAGGCCGCGCTGGGGGCGGCGGCCGGGCCGGGCGGGCCGGGGCGGGGGGCCGGCGGGGCCGGTGTGGGCCAGGCCGGAGGGCCGGAGGGCCGGGCCCGGTTCGGATTCCAGGCGGGTCTCGTCCGGTCTCGGGGTCCGGACCCGCGCCGGCGGTTAGGGGGACTCGTGCGGGCGGTCGACGGGCCCCCGCCCCCGTCCTGCCGGCGCGGCCGCGTCCTCCCAGGAGCGGCCGAGGGCCTGCGGCGGGAGAGGCCGGCTTCTCCCTCCTTTCTGGCCCTAAAAGGTAGACGCTCCTAAAGGGGGACGGGGCGCGTGTGGCCGTGGCGCAGCGAGGCCGGGCGGGGCGAGGGGACGCTTCCAGAATTCTCCGGTTCGGGAAAGTTTGTCCCTGAGCACCACGCCGGTCTCACCTCTCCGTGCCGCGGCTTATGTAACTGAAGCTGGTACCATTTTTGCCCAAGTATGGGAAGGACGCAAGGGGTACAAAAGGGACACTGTCGCCTCGGAAAAGGTTCTCGAAGCCGGTGCTGGTGCGGGGCAATCACGCCACCCTCGCTCCCCGCCCGCCGGCTTCGCCGCCGGAAGGAGCCGGGTGGGAAGGTCAGACCGCCCCCCAGGGGCTGCCCCGGGGCCCGAGGCCGCCGCGCTCCCGCGGTTTCAGCATTTGCATTTCAGCTGTGGATTCCTAGGGAGATTTTGTGACTGGGATCTTTTTAAGGCAGCTGATCGAAAGTTCAATGACGAAAAGAAGGTGTAGCCGGAAGAAACGTTCAAACTTGTCGAGAATTTTTATGAGTTTACTTGAGCCAAACTGATGGCAATTGCTGGAGCAAAAACCTCAACAGATTGAGAAAATGTCCCGGAAAATGGCAGTGTTGCACCTTGTCTTTTATACATTAAAATCAAAAGAGATAAAATTGGGCTACTTGAAATCCATTGGTCATAGATTTGGAAGGTGGGAGAAAGCAAAATGGGGAAACCATGGGATTGCATAAAAAATGATACCTTTTTACCTCGGTGGGTACGGATGGTTAACAGTCAACAATTAACTGATTAATAGTAACAATGAGGGGATTTGTGGGGACCAGACAGAAGGAAATTAGGTATTGCAATGGCTTGTCCATCAAGTTTTTTTCTTCTTCTTTTAATCCTAAATGCAAAAACACAGGCTGAGTTAAGTGAAGATTATGAGGGCCCGGCCTCGTTGTTCACTGGTGGAGCATACATGAACCAGGAAGTCACCATCCGATTCCGGTTGGGGCGGGTTGGGGGCTTGATCCCCTTGTCCGCGGGTGCAGGAGGCAATGATTATCTCTCATTGATGTATCTATCTCTCCTCTCTTTTTCTCTGAAATCAGTAAATACTAAGAAACAAATTATTAGGGGAAAAAGACTGCCCTAGGCCATGACTATCTACCAATAACTGCTTTTAGTTAAAAAGTTTTAATTTCTCTGAGTTTGTAAGGCCGCCACATAGGCCTCCCCTGAAATTGTCAGGTTTAGTATGTGGCCTCAGTCCATAAGGGAAAGATAAACCCATAATTTGAAGTGCTTGGTGATTCTCCTTTAGGTGTGATCACAGTTGTTAAAAAAATAATTGTGAAGATAAATGTTTAAGGAACTACATGCTGTTCTCCCCCGACTGCCTAGTTCACCCGCCCCTCCAGGTTCTGTGGGAAGTTTCATCCAACTTTTCTTGTTCCCAATGAGATCTAGGCTGCTGTGGGGTTAGGGTTCTGCATTCCGAGGAAAAGGTGAGTGCACCTTTATTTACAGCTCTTGAGCTGGGTTCTTTTGGATGATGCAAGAACATGCATTTGGGAGGTTTGGAAGACAGGAAGTGGGAGGGGAAGAAATGGGCTGAGTGGAGCCGAAGACGAGAAAGGGGGGGGGTTCCATCGTCTTTTAAAATGTCAGATGAGTTCAGAGTTCTCTTCAGAATGTTCTTTTGGATTTGAAAACTGTGTTTGGGCGGTATTTCTGGCTGCAGGACAGGGTGGGCAGTGTTGAGTAATACTCTGAACTGGGTGCTGGTGAGGGAACTTGTCTGATACCTGCAGCTAAGAGTCATACGATAGCTTTTCCTGTTTAAGCCATCCCATTTTTATGTGGTAGAACCAAAAATATTTTCTCTTGGATAGTTTCAAATCTACAATTGTACTGGTCACCAGTATCAACAGTTTTCTATCTAGCAAACTCAAAAGCCAGGTTTGGTCAATGGGTGTGTGTGTGTGTGTTTTACAACTTCAGAGGGCACTTTAAAACTTGGGCATATATTTTAAATTCATTTTTTTCAGGTCTGTGTAATCCTCACCATGTCACCTTAGTGGTGTGACTGGTTCCTTCCTTGAGGATAAAGGTCAGTTGCTACGTTGTTTAATTCTTCTGGGCGCTTGCACAGCACTTCTGGTAGCTGTGCTGAGCAGTAAGTGAGCAGGATCAGCCCTTGTATGTTGATATTTTAACAGGGTTTTAAAAACCTTTATTTCTTTTTGCCTTTTCACTTCCTAGGATATAAGTCTAGCATTTAGGATGCTGGTGTGTTAAAAAATTGGTTTCATTTTAAATTTGTCCCGGACACCACCTCGTGGTGCAAGGCAGGTAACTGCAGGCTTATTAATGAACAAGGATGGAGGGTTAGTGACAAGATTGAACAAATTCTGCAGTTTCTCTTGGAATAGAATTTGGGAGAACTTCAAACTTGAAAAAAGGGGGCTAAATAAGAACAAATTGGCGAAGATGAGAACAATGCTACAAATGGAAAGACAATTTTAAAGCCTAGTTAGAAAAATGACATTGCATAAGCCACATAGCAAAAATTTGATGATTTTCTTATGTTTTGATTATAAAGTGTTTTTCCAAAGTTGGTTTTTTAAACATATCTTTATACTTGAAAGTATTACATATGTTCCCTTTTCCCCTTCTTGCCTGCCCACGCCCCATAAGCTTTGTATTTTTAGGAGGACATAGTTAAAAATCACAACTGACCCCTTTTGTTTTCATAGCCTACCTAAGAAGTAAATTTAAAGAACCTTTTTAAGGAGTGGAAATTCTGAAAAATACAAGTAGTTACAATACATTTCTAAGGTTTATAGTATATGTCTTAAGTAGAGAAGGTTCTGTCGTGTCATTTACCATTGGTACTTTATTTCAGAATCTTTATCTTATCTAGACATAACTTGGTTTTCTCACGTTTTTTTACCTTATATGAAATTTGTAAGAAATTGTTGCCATTATAAGTGAAAAACAATGCCAGCTTTGTTGCTGATAATCTTCAGTCCATTCTGTATGGGGCTGTTTCTGCTTTGTTTATTCATGTGTTTTGGTTTTTAGATTCCACATGTAAATGAAATCCTTTGGTGTTTGTCTGACTTATTTCCTCCCCCCCCCCCCTTTTTTTTAAAATTGATTTCAGAGAGAAAGGGAAAGGGAAAAAGAGACAGAAACATCAATGATGAGAGAGAAGCATTGATTGGCCGCCACCTGCATACCCCACACCGGGAATCAAGCTTTCAATTTGGGCATGTGCCCCTAACCAGAATCGAACCTGGGGTCCCTTTAATCCGACGTTCAGTCCACTGAGCCAAACAACTAGGGCACTTACTTAGCACAGTACACACTAGGTCCTTACATGTCACAAATGACAGCAATTTCATTGAGGCTGAGCAATTTTCCATTGTATGTGTGCACTACTGGATCCATTCATCTCTGGGTGGAAGCCTACGTAGTTGTCCGTCCAGGCTCAGGCGCAAGTGTCAGTTGTCTTTGGAAGAGTGATTTCCTCAAGGAAGAATGTGGCTTTGTGCCTTTAAAATTCTCACCCTACCTTTCCCCCAGAGGCGTTTAGAGTTTGCCTTGTGTTTGTGTGCGGTGCTGGGCAACCCTGTGCATTCCTCAGGGTAGGCCTTAATGCTGTGTTCTTGGTGCCTGTAGCATTGTCCCAGCCAGAGTGCTCCAAGTACTGGTTGAATTGGATCCTTCTACTTGCTTTGTTTGCATTCTGATTCCTGTTCTGCAGTTAACAGTGGGATCCAGAGTTTAGAAAAGTTGGGGAAATATGCACATAGCATACAATTTAAGTTCACAAGTACTTAGAGACAGTGCTTACCAGGTCTGTGTTCTATTTTATTTTAATGAAAGGAATTAATAGGTGACGGTGGTGTCCATGTTGAGTCATAAAGGAAAAACTGTGTCTTAGAAAAGCTCTAAGGGATATTAGGTTAAGAACAAAATATTGAAGTGGATGGTCTGTTTGTTTCTCCCACCTGTGGACTTGTTCTAGGAAATCATCAGAAATGAAGGACACCTGGGAAGCGGTACCAGATTTTCCAATTCCTTTTATTTAAACTTCTTGTCTGTTTCCATTCCAGTAGTATTGTAACCAGTTAGATGCCACAACGTGAGTTAAATACTTAAAAAATATTTTACTTAAAATTGCCTATTTTCTGGGTTAATAGCAGTAATATATATTTGATTAGCCATTTTTTAAGCTAAACATAGGGATGGTGGGCAGTGGACATTACGACCTTTTGAATCATTACAACAAGGTGTAACCTGCGGGTGGTTAGCAGTGAAAGGCTTTCTGGAAGAAGGATCCTTCCGCGCTTCACCTCCAGTTTCACAGTGGAGTCTTACGGATTGGAAAGGAGTAAGGAGTTAGTGTTGTTTTTGCAAGCAGAGTAAGGTTTCTTTGATTCTAGAGGGAAGGATTTGAGAAAGGTCTTTGTCAGTTTTGTTCAGTAACACCTTATTTATGTGAATGACCAGATAGGATAGCAGAAGGCCTCAGGCTGTGGAGATGTTGAGGAGCTCAGGGACTCTGTCAGGCTGCCCAGAGTGGTATATTAGTAACAGTTGTGTTGGGCACATGTATTTTTTTGTTTCATTAAGAACATGGAGGAGACGGACACGACCACCGAGTCCGTCGTGGCTCAGTGGTTGAGCATCAACATGAACCTGGAGGTCATGGTTCCATTCCTAGTCAGGGTACAAGTCCAG